TGTCAAACGTTTGTGCAGCAAAAATTTTCCTTTGTGCCGCTATCAATTTAAAGATATAAAGAGATGTTTCTAGAGGTCATCAAAGGTCAACCAGCCCCCCCACTTTCTTCAAATTAGACAAAATTGGTGTCAAACGTTTGTGCTGGTTTGTGCAGCAAAATATTTCCTTTGTGCCGCTATCAATTTAAAGATATAAAGAGATGTTTCTAGAGGTCATCAAAGGTCAGTTAACATCTGTTTTTGCTGCATAAACCAGCCCAAAGTAGCACAAACGTTTGACACCATTTTTGTCTAATTTGAAGAAGGTGGGGGGGCTGGTTGACCTTTGATGACCTCTAGAAACATCTCTTTATATCTTTAAAATGATAGTGGCACAAACAAAAATTTTTGCTGCACAAACGTTTGACACTAATTTTGTCTGATTTGAAGAAGGTGGGGGGGGGCCAAATTAACTCAGGTCACGGACCACACTTCAAAATTGGGCATAAATCAAAAATATCTGCGTCATACCTACGACAAGCTAACTGAGCGTGGCAAGCGTGGAAAAGTGGGCGTGGCTATATTTAGGAAAATAACTGGATCAAAGTGCTGTTTTCTGAGTGAGGGTGAGTTACCATGGAGTCCTGCAGCAGGTCCTCCAGTTTGCTCAGTCTGCTGTTCTTGTCGCAGGTATATTGTCTCTTTATGGTGTCCTGAAGCTGGCGGAGGTACGACTCACAGTCCCTCGCGTCGCTCACGAACTGCAAGAGGAAGCAGAAACATTTCTCTACATAAAGGTAGAAATCAAACCTGGAGGTAAAACCAGGTTTTTAATTGAGTTTAAATCTGAGCAGAAACTTAACCTCACCTGGAAGTAGGCGGTGTTGTCTTTGAGATGCTGCTCCACACAAACGCACAGCTGTTCCACCCACTGCCACTGAGTCTGCAGGGCTGCACTGTAGGCCTGGAAACACACATAGATCAGCAACAGGTAGAGCTGCAAACGACCCATCCAATCAGAGGAGATCATGTAGGGATGAAATAACGCAGGCATCTAAATCTGATCGAATTTAAGGCTTTCTGACAGTTTATAGCTATTTAATTATTAATCAAACATATTCATATAAATAACTGGTTTATAAAAACAATGAAAAACTTAATGATTTGATTCCTAATATTTTCAGATCAAACATGTTTGCAAGCTAAAGCAGAGGAGCCTTAAATAAATAATAAGGACAAATTCATGAATATTTGGAGGTAGAGATTCTGGATAATCTTTTTCTGTTTTAATATAAATGCAAAAGTTTCTTTTTATTTATTCCTTTGTTAAAAAGTTCACTGACTAAGAAAAAAAGCAGGGCACTGCAATAAAAACTGGAATATATTTACTTTATAAATTTTCTATCCAGATGTATTTAAAACAGAATAATAATAATAAAACTTTTGAACAAATTTTTGTAAAGAAAGAGAAAAAACCTGCTTTAATAACAAAGTTAGACTGTTTGATCTTCTCCTTATAATTTAGATAAAAGTTTCCTTTTATTGAAATTTAACCTACAGACGACGGATCCGACTTCAATGGATAAAGAAATAAAACAATAAAGCGGCTGGTCGACAGTTTAAACCCACATATATACATATAGGAGGTTCAATTGAGAATATTTTACATTTAAGAGGATAAAATATTGGATTCTGGCTGTTATTAAAGCTTTTGATCGGAAATTATAATCATTATCTAAAAGCAAACAGACAACTAAACTAGAAAATGGAGGAACTGGGACAAGAACAATGTGATTATGATATGAAGCAGGTTGTGGCTGCTGGCTGTGAGTGGGCGGGGCTTCCGCCTCAGTCAGCCCAAAGGGAACGGCTTACCTCCACGGTCTGTTTGGCTGGATGGTTTTCCTGACAGAGGCGGCTTGCCGTTTCCTGGATGGAACGCATCACATCCTGTTTCTCTGCCAGTTCCATCCTCATCTCCTGGAAGCAGAACCAGAAAGTTAAACAGGAAGCATCGGGGGGGCCTTTCCTGGCCCTCTCATCTCCTTCACTCACGTTGTACGCTTCCCTCTTGGCGGCCATGTTGGCGTTGCCTTCGCTCCAGTCGAAGGAGATCTCCTCCTCCTCCCTCTCGTTGAGCCAGATCAGCTCCTCGGTGCAGCGCGACACGAACGCGTGGAGGCTCTCCAAGCTCTGCAGGCGGCATGACGAATGTTCCTATGGAAACCACACAAACACGCAATCAACATGCTGATCGGCGGCACAATAACACTTCCTCTCATTGTGCGGTCACTTGGGCTGCATTTAAAGGAACCTTTACGGAACATTTAATCAGATATATCTATAAAAGTTTGGATTTTAGGACTTTTTTTGATATATCTCTGCATATATTTCCTAATCTGGATGAAACGGAACAAACTTCCAAGCGGCTAATAGTTAGCATGGCCAAACTGACCACTGAGCTGCAGAGAAACTGGACAGAGAAGTAAGAGCTGGGATGAGGAGAAACTGGGAACAGAAAAGGAGCAGATGGAGAAATATGCTGGCATGCTGTAATGGGATTAACTCACCAGTAGCTTGCAGTACTGGTGCTCCAGTTTGGCCAGGGTTTCAGAGTAACTGCCTTTAAAGTTCGGGGACACTTTAGCCTGACAAGAGATGAAAGAAATCTTGATTATAAACCTGAACTTTAACGTCAAACTGAACTTGTTAGGTAACGTTTCTGCACCTGGTAGCTGCGCGCCTCCTGCAGGCTGCTCAGCAGTTCCTCCACAGCCGTGTGGATGGTGTTGTGCTCCTGGAGGTTGTTCTCTACAGAGGGGAGGTCTGCACCCCATTCCGCTCCCTCCAACAGCTCCTGAAACGCATCAAAATGTGGATCGAGTGATTTATTATGGTGGAAGTGAGGATAATGTGGAGCAAATATTATGACCGGCTTTCACAGACGCATTAACAAAGGCGGATTTAGGAAATATGGGGCCCCGAGACAAAGAGAGACAGGAGGCCCTCTGAAGTGAGAAGACGACACATAAAACAGACCAATTATACAGACAGAGACATTTTTGAAGAATAGACATC